TATTGACTATAAGGTTAAAAAATATATTAGAATTACTTCATTCTCATGTGCTTACCCCCTTAAACTTTAGAAAATAAATTATTTTGCTTTGTGAGAAGAGGAAGAAAAAAAATCCAGATTCATCCAAACAAAAATCTTCTGGCTTTATATTAATAATGACCTCAATTCAGGTCATTAACTTGGGAATTAATGGCCAGTTAAGGTTAATGGCCCACGGTCTTGAGTCATTAAACTGCAAGGAAATGCTGTGTACTTTGATCGTTATTCGTTTATTAAAGATGGGTGGTAGCTTAAAAAAATGTGGGTGTCTCAAAACACAAAGATGCCCTACTGCTAACAATGAACGCGAGCATTGTGCTGCATATATTTTACATTTAGAATGGACTCCCAAATAAAATAACTCAAATGCTTCTAATGCTAATATACTGGTGTCACACACAGCTAAACTATTTTAAATTCACCTCTAGAGGAATGCGACAAAGAGAATGGATACAGTTTCACCCACAAATACCCAACGAGAACTAAATTGTTATGGGCCTCTCTCATTAGTATAGAGTTAATCGTATCTGGGCTGCAAAAATCAGAACTGCCAGTAGATTGTTGACCTTCCCAAATTAATAATCCCATTCTCAAGGTTGCCTTGAACTATCTATCTGCCTGTCCGTCTGTCCATCTGTCCATCCATCCATCCATCCATCCATCCATCCATCCATCCATCCATCCATCCATCCCTGCATGATTGGTGATTCAACCATTATACACCATACAGAAACACGGAGATATGATTCCCACATTCACTTCTGATGTTAGCTGCCTTCATGATCTTATTGTATGAAACCATCCTGGGCAGGAAACAATGCTCAGCAATGTCCCTGGATGACCAAGTCTTTCAAGAGGCCATCTGTTTCCATGAATGGAGGAGGAGGTGTAGAAGAACCTCCTTCAAAAGACTTCTTTCTCCCATTCTCCCAACCCTAACCCTGAGCATTTGTTCCGAAGGGAGACACAACATATCTCCAAGCCCTTTAACGAATGCTTGGGGAACAGATGTAAAGCTCCAGCGCTGTTATTTCTCAAGAATGGTTTATAAACAATCAACCCTCTTCTGACTAATGTACCATATTTTAAGCAAGATTTTTCACTACATAGAATAAGGGTTAAATGATAACTTGACTTATCTTTTACATGACAAAAAATAAAGAAATTGCAAGACCTTTTCACATATTAGATATGTATTGTCATTTATCATCTAGATATCAGAGTAGTAGTGCGAGGTAATAAAACATATCATCGAAAAATGTGCTATAGGTCTGAATCACTCTCTCATTCCACCTCCCAGCTAACTGTAGTATTAAATCAAACAAGCAGAACATTTCCTTGGGCAGGCATTGCCTTTTAATTTCCTGAAGAACCTTAAAATATCATTCATTACAAGTACTACACATATTTGGTTTTTAAAAGTCTCATAAATCAATAGCAGGCTGACTGTAATAATTATTACAAGTTAGTGCATAATTTTCGTGCTGAAGGCTCCATGCAGAACTTTAGCATATGCAAACGAGGCAATTCAAACTGTGTATAGATATTAATATGAAGAAGCAGGTAACGAGGTGCCGGCTATGAATTATGCATCAAGCGCGGCTGATCTTCAATGAAGAAAATGAATTCAGCATGTAATCTAATTAGTGATGGAAGTCTATTACATCTAACTGCAAAAGCAACCGTCCTTGAAACAAATTTATTTACAGTCCATGTTACCAATTGAAACAACTTTGAAATGATGTGTAAGACAACAGCTTAATTGTAAAGTTTTTCCCCCCTTTCTTTTGCAGTTCCAGACCTGGACGGCCTCCGAAACGGACTCAGAGCGTTACCTCTCCAGAGAATTCTCACATCATGCCACATTCTGTCCCTGGTCTCCTCTCGCCTGGAATCATCCCACCGACAGGTAAGAGCCCCGAAACGTGGACCGGGAAGCCTTCGTCCCATGCGGCCTTGTTTCAGAGTTTAAATTCATCCACCATTTTGTATTCTGATGCAGTGGCTTCTTGAAAAGGAAAATGTCTCTTGGCTTGTTGGTATGGGACGTGAGGTTGCATACTCAGCCAGGAAAGCTGGCTTTATAACTTTCTGGAAAGCTGAAGAGTGCTTCTTGTCCTCACTGGGGGCTTGTCCACCCCACTAGGTAGACCAGACCAGGAAAACAACTCCATAGGAAGACCAGAACTACACTTTATTGTGATAGGCTGTAATAACGGAATCTTGCAAGCCTGACCGTGCTGGACCTCCTCCTCCTCCTCCTCCTTCTTATAGACCAGGGAACCAGGGAGGCCTCTGCTAAGCCATTTCCAGAGCTTATCTCTTTGTTCTGGACTTAACACAATACTTCAGCCCCTTTTGCCTGGGGAACGGTTCCTGCATCTCTCCCATCAAGGTCGTCTTCCTTACTCTCCACAGGACCAGTGGGGGTCTTTGTAGGTACCTTGTACCTAAAGCACCATCTAATTATGCTGCTCGCCATAATGTATATTCCATAATTCTGGAAATGAAGTCTTCCTTCAGTAAATTGGATTAGTTACTAAATATAAAATTATAAATATATCAATAGTATGTATTTGTTAATTGGTTTAAAATTAACCAGGCCACTTTGGACAGAACTGCTGCATTCCATCCTTCAGCTTCTAGATGCCACTCTCTTGCAAGCATTTTAAGCAACAGTGCCTCTGGTTTATTGGAAGCCATACAATCCATACATGGAAATAACTGAGTAAATGCATCAAAAATGTGTTTGCTTGGATCCTTAATTTGTGCCCTTTGAAGCATCTAGACCCTAGCCATCCGCCCTGAGATGTTTTTGGTCAAAATCTGGCAGAGGAGAGAGTGCGTGCCCACAGAAAGGAGAAGAAAAGGTTAGTTCACAGAAACATACATCGTAAAAGAACAAATCACACTGAAAAACTAACATCCATAATAATATGATATTATTAAAAATATAAAAAGTGGACTTTAATTTTGAGCATATTAAGGATATTAGGAATGTTAATGGAATTTGGATTAAGAAAATATGGGCCCAAATTCTTATTCAGTTGATAAGTATATAGAAACTCCTCAGAGTCAACTACTTACAAGATTGTAGGGAAGATAAAATAAGCGAACTGCCATTATAGCCAGCAATGAAATAAAGTAAATGAAAACTGAAAAAGAAAGAAAAAACATTAAACAATACAAGGGATCAAATGAGCAAATCTGTTATGTGAAAAATAGGAATACAGTCTGTATAAACCTAAAGCTATAGAATTCATGGGATTTAAGGATACATTTGAAGACGTGATAGAAATATAGCGACTGAAAAATGCTGTGATGCAATTCCATGCCTAATGAACATTAAGATTCGGGATATTTGAAAATATACTTTCCTCGGCTTTCTTTTTTCTCTCTGCTTACTCACCTTATTTTTTCTCTTTCTTTTACTTGACCTACTGTTCATTTAATTTCTCTATCTGCGTGTCGATGTGTTTAGATCTCCTGGTCTGCAGTTTTGAGGATTGCTGGAAAATTCTCCACTATGTATAAAAGCCCAAGTAACTTGCTATTTGACATGCTGTTGGTTTTGTACACGTAGCATGCCTTTATTTGAGAAAAAAAAATGAAAATGAGGGAAATGATGGAAACTGCATGTAACTTACTGTAAGTAGAAATGGGTGCATGAGGAAAGAGGAGGTGATGAAAAAGCGTTTCCGAAAGTACACGTACTATAGATGTCTTTTCTGTTCCACATCTCTCTTAGGTAAATAAGTAATAATTGCAAGCAGTAATGATAATTCTTCTCCACTTAACAGTCACATACGTAGCTTTTCCTTGTTGTTGTCAGAAATGAAGTAAAATGTTATTTGTATTACTGCCCTATATAGGAGAGTGGGATAATGGATTTGGAAAAGGAAGCTGTGAAGCAGGTGGCTGTCCAGAGATCACCTCCCAACCCTGCAGGAATCGAAAGATGTTGGGCTGGTTTCTCTGATTCTGTATTATCAGCGTGATATGCCTTCCTTTGGACTGTCACGTATTATAACGCTTAACCAGAATATTTACCACTTGTGGGAAATGAACTTAATGCTAACTCAGCCTTTTAAGAATCTGTGTAATGCTCAGCGTAAACGGCAATTTTCCACCTTGCTTCTACTGTAACGTTTTGCAGTTCTGGTGGAAAAGAGACATCATCGTCTCCCCTCTTTAATGGGAATATACGAATTACACAGCTCTGTTTCCCCAACGGTGAGAAGCTCCAGGGCTGTTTTTATTATGGCTGTTCTTTGGCAAGGAGCGATTACTAGAGGCTTATGCTTCTTTGTAAAAAGAGGCTTTTTTCCGAGATAGACAAACTGAAGGCGGCTGAAGGCAGAGAGTGTATAACCCTCATAACTCTATTGCCATGCATTAAATTTCCAGGGAGAGCCCCCCATCTCCAGGAAACACTTCTGGTGGTACCTCTCCAGCCTGTCTTCTCTGGCTTTTGTTGATACGCGGCTGAAGAGAGGCAGTTACAAGAGGCAGTTATCAGCTTCTCCAAAATAGTCGAAAAGCAAAGGGCTATTGGCTCATGAGAAAAGTTCCAAAATCGATGGGCAGATCATAACCTTGCTGTAACCAGGCAAAGGACACCGTGCGACATGGCTGGGCGCCATCTTGAAAGTTGAAAGGAGAAACGGGTTGGGAGTGCATGAGCAGCGAGATTCTAGGAAAAGATGCCCTTGGTGTAAAGGGTTCCTTTTGGGCGCCATGCTGATGCCCGCATGTGCTCCAAAGGGATGCGCAACCTGGGTACACAACAGTGCCCTCATTGTCCTGAACTGTTGATTTGTAATGACCTTGCAGATGATGAGTGAGCATCGTTCCCTTAAGAATATTCTGCCTCCCCTTAATTCTCTTTCGTCTTCTTTCTTAGCAGCTAGGTAGCCTGTAAGAATACCTCTTTTTTTTGTAGTATGCAATCTGCATTGGAAATCAAATGTTTACAGCAATCAGGCAGTATATATATTATAATTTTAATCAGTAAATTAAATAAACAGTACAAGCCCCACTCTGTTGCTCTGCTTTGGTGGGAAATGAAAAGGCCCATGTTCATCAGGGTTTTAGTACGTCCCATTCTCACAGCTATAAAATTTAGAAAAGATGTTCAAAAATGAAGGCTGGTATTTAAGATTTTCCAGTTCTCTCGGGAATGTTTGGTAGCGTAAATTATAAACTTAGATATTTAACATAAACATCCAATGTCTGTGAGATGTTATTTTCACAGTTTCCTTCCAGAGTAATGGAAAACTGATTTTTAACTCACGAGTGAGCTATGAGTTTTTGGGAATGAGAGGAGAAAACTTCGGACTGTTTTAAACAGTTCCCACCAAGATATCAGTTAGTTCTACTCAATAAAAGGCAATTCAATTCAGAGCTTTTCCCCTGAAAAGCTTGTAACTGTGGGAGGGACTCCTCTGAAATAGAATGGGAAAACCACAAAGGTTTCACTAAGGAGAGAGGATTGTTGCCAAGTGCATAAAATAAAGCAGCAAAAGTGGTTTTTGTGGCGATAGCAAAGAAGCCACAAAAGGCACGCAAGCCAAGGTTTCAAAGTTGTGCTTCCAGTGAAGATAGTCAAAGGAAGCTTCACAAAGAAATATGCCTTATATTCATTCATGTCTCCAATAGAAGAGAATGTTTGTAGCTCAGGGTTGAACTGTGGAGTCCTTGGTGCTCTCTGAGCTTGGCTGATTGCTGGCAGATGTTTCATTACCCAACTAGGTAACATCACCAGTGCGAGGGAGTGTGGGGTTTGCTCCCTGTTTACCTACAGTAGCTTGCCCTGTCAGTGTCGGTGGGGGTGTGGTTTTCTCCTTGGTAGTTCCTTGATTAGGGTACTGTTTTCTGCTTGAAAACAATGATTACACACACACACACACACACACACACACACTGTATTATACAGTATAACTACAGTATATAAACAGGGAGGAAACCCCACCCTCCCTTGCGCTGCCGATGTTCCCTAGTTGGGTAATGAAATGTCCAGAAGCAAACAATCAAGTTCAAAGAGCACCAAGGGCTTCACAATTGTGTCTCCTTCACACACACACACACATACAAACCCATGTTAGGTATTTGTAGTAGACTATAGTGGATAATGGCTGGTGGATGGTTTATTTATTTATTGGTTTGTTTGTTTATTGCTATGCTGCTGTGCTCTTCAGTAGCCTGAGTGGCACAGAAATGGATGGAAACTTAATCTTGGCAAAATGGAGTTTTTGTAGGGAACTGGTAGGTCACCCTTTTCTGGAGGGGGTTACAGTTCAGACCTCCCAGAAAGATCAGTTCTGGGATGAATTTTCCCAGCTTCAGTTTATTGTATCCCTGCCTGGGAGAAATTGTCTTTAAATCTGGAGTCAGCTTGGGATAAAGCTTTGAGAGACCGCAGCATCTTTTTCTACAGAGTCCCTCCCAATCGTTGATCGGTTCATCTGGACTTACTCTGGCTTGTCTGTCAGCCACTAGAAGTTGAATGGAAGGTCTAACCTCCTTGCTCGTTTTAAAAGACAATAATGCCTACAGCCAGTCCTTTCTAGGGTCTCTGGCATTACTGTGGGCTTCCTATTTTATTGCCCACCGCCTGGCAAACTCAATAGTTAGTGGATGAATAAGTGAAGTAATAGGAGTAAAAAGAGAGAACTGTCCGGTTTTTTTTCCCCAGCAAGTGCAGGGCAGAGAAGAAGACAATATCTGGGGAGGTGAGCAAAGGTTCCTTTTGTGTGCAAAGTCCCTTCTGCCAAGCTTCCCATTCCCCTGAAAGAAATGGAGGATTATGGAATCATTTCCAGCAACTGTGATTACGCTCAAAAGCCTAGTTGAGTGCTAATGTTGTGAACTGTGCCCTGTGTCGCAGGACAATAGTTCAGTAATTCTCAT